ATACAAAATAATTCCATAAAGGTAAGATGGGGAATGGACATTGGCTCCGACACGAATAATGCGCAAACATTCATACACATCTCTCTTATTTCGGAACTCAGTTGCTTTCATCAAGTCCTCGTAGACACACCGTCTCAGGACCAGCAACTTCACGTGGAGTCATACGTTGCCTTGTTACCAAACCCACTGGTAACTTTAACATCATAATATTTAATAACACATAATCTAAACTAAATTTAAACACACAATTTTTAACGGGTTTTTACCCACATATTTAATGGCTCAATACATGTATACCTAGACACTGATGATGGAATATGGATTCCGAAAACGTTTTGTGATATAGCCCGATTGGGTTTTTTAAATTATGTACCTTTTATAAAGTATTTTTAATAAAAATTTTTGTGATATATGGTATACAGCCAACTACAGGCACTTAGATTCCTTGTGGATTTTTGTTTTATTTTAATTTCTTTATTAATTCCTTAACCTTCAGTTTTTTTACTATCTTTTCTTCAAAAAATAATTGGCGCCCTCTCTCTGTCCGGTAGACTAAATATTCTGTTCTATTTTGACAGAAGATTTAATCCTATTATATACATATGTTCTATGGCATGGTTCATTTTATGGTCTGTAGAAATCTCTTTGGGTTTATGGAAGAGTTAATTAAAAAAAAACTAATTTCTGCTTCTCCTTTCGAGAGTAACCTCCTGAAAACATCGTCGGCGATGGATTAACCACATATAAAATCAACCAACTAAGACGGCAGCTGTCTTTAAGACCACTTAAATGGCAAACACCTAAGACCTACCCACATAATCTGGAGGCAACAAAATTTTATACAGAAGCAAGCAACCCATCGATGCCATGAGTATCATTTCATTTTATTGTAAAGCTATAGGCAGGGTTGCCTTGTGCAAACTAAATATCATTATTTTGTTTTATGCTAAATAAACATGATTAGTTAATTCATAGTTTTATTTGTTAACAACTGAATTTTCATTGTTTAGGTTAAGACGGATTCACACGTAAGAGACTGAGGTATTATAGTTGATTGAGGTATTATTTTATAATAGTATTTAAATTCTCTTTGGTATTCTTATCGTTACATATTGGCACAAAAAGCCTGTTTACAGGTTAAAGGATGCCATATCGTTACACATTGGCGCCCTCGTAACTTGTCTTATTCGAAGATTTGAGCTCTGAATTTTTAGTTTGGTAGCAAATTAACAAATACTATTTTTATAAGTTTCAATATATTCATTGTTTGCAGTAAATTTTGATATTTTCATACTTTTTGATATATAAATATTAATTTTTACATGTTCGGTTAAAAATTATTACCGTTTTCATATATTTCAGCATATTTAATTTATATTTAATACTCAGATATTTTTACATGTTTTTTTTATGATGGTACTTTTATATTGATTTAAATGGTAATTTTTTAACTTCAGGCTGTTTTATCGGTACACCAAAACCTAGAGACAGTGTTTTCTGCTACTTACCGACAAAATGTCTCGAAATTTGGACACATTATTCGACATTATGTTGCCTTTAAAATACTGGTTTTACTTTTTTTTTTATTTTTTTGAAACTTCTGTTGAAAAATTAGATTATACTGTTTAACGTTCTATTATAACCAAACTTTTTACGCCCATTACTTGAAAGAGTTTTTTTTTTCTGTAATCGTTGATTCTTTTTTCACCTTTCTGTGTCCAGTAATAATCGAGAAAAGTGTGTTCCAACTTTGATGAAAATTGCTAAAAAATACTAAAATCTAATAGTGAAACGTGTTACACATCATTGGCGCTTAGTTTCACCGTTATCGCCGTCGTGACGTCAAATCTCATGAACGTACGGTCAATTAGTTAATGCATTTGTTGTGATTAAACTACCTGTGGCCGGTGCCACGGCCACTGCTGAGTAAAGATAGTCTGGCGTAAGCAGTGTAGAAAAGTAAGTGATAAGCCCATTTCAAATCGCAGTGTGGTTTAACTGCTAAAATGGCCTTAACCAGTTTTTGTGGATAGCATACTTTAAATACTTTCTTAATTTTTTATAATTATTTCTTTAAGATGCTACCTAAACATCTAAAGACAGATGAATTATCGTACGAAATTCATATTAGGGATATATATATATATATATATATATATATATATATATATATATATATATATATATATATATATATATATATATACAAGAAATACTGGATATTATTGACTGTCGATATAAACAAACAACACAGTTTATTAGGGTTATTAGGGTTTCTGACTGCAACCCTAATAAACTGTGTTGTTTGTATATATATATATATATATATATATATATATATATATATATATATATATATATATATTTATTTATTAGGGTCTCTTTCCTAAGTACAGTAGTAGAGGAAAAACGAAATATTCTTAGTGTACTTCTTTCTCAGGAAGCCAGTTACCGTAGTTTTTCAGATATTTCGGTCAATCTCTCTTTCGATGTTGATTACCAGTAAGCTTTAGTTTCCTATTCTGATCTGTTAGGTCCTATATCTGATTATTTAGGTACAAAATTTGATAGCAGATTCAAAGCTTTTAGTTCTCGTTTAACTCATTTGTTTGGTAGAATCTCTCATTTACAGCCAACATCTGTAGATGAAGAAAAATTGAAAAAAGCTATTCGCTTTGATTTGTCAAAATTAGAGGCTACTTCGTCTGATATTGTAGATCAACCTGTTGCTTCTACTCCTGATAGAGCAAACCTCAATTATTCTCAATCTTCAACATCACCTGTTAAGTCTGTAACTGTTTATAAATTGTGTCTTAAAACATTTTCTGGTAAAGAACCTCCAATTTCATTTCTGAAACAAATTGAAACTTTTAAAGTTTTATAGGAACTGCACCGATGAAGATTTATTCATCTCTGCAGGATATTTATTTGAAGGTGCTGCTTTTACTTGGTGGCATAATAATTTCACAAAAAAATCTTTCAATTCATAGTCTGAATTAGTTGCTTCATTAAAGGAAACTTATTTATCATATAACTATGAAAGCAATTTGTGGGAACAAATACGTTCCACAAAACAGTCTTTCAGACAATCAGTCTCTGCATATAGTTTTTATACAGAGCCTTTGATGCTCCGGTCTTCATAATCAATTACTAAATTTAAAAAAGCGGATGAAATCATTAATCGTCTTCTTCTTGACTATGTCAAAGCTCTTGCTTTCCAGGATGTGGAATCAGTTGCAAACCTTACAAAGTATTGTAAGAGATTGAATCTGCTCTTATTATTTCATATTGGAGCAAATTTTCTGTTCAGTCTCTTTCTTCGTCTGCTACATGTTGGAACTGCAATATGAAACGCCATACTTTTCAAGTGTGCAATAGACCGAAGAAAAAATTTGTTCATGGTTGTGGATTTAGGAATATCACCACATATGAATGTAGATGTTCAAAAAACGGTTTGCGAGGTCAAGCTTCAGCAGACTGCATGCCTCAAAGCAGCAAAACGCCTGTCCCAGAAACACTTTTGATTTCGAAAACGTTCAAACAACCAATGTCAGTGAGTGTTTCTAAGCAACCTATACCTAAAACTGCTTCTCCTTTTATCCTCCTCCTCAGTACTAATTCCTTTTGGGATGTGGTGACACCATCAGGCCTTCACAGTTTTTTTACGATTTCCCTCCATCCTTCTCTGTCCTTTGCTAGTTGTTCGGCTTCATGTAACCCTTGGTTAATCAATATTTTTGTTTGATCTACCCAACGGTTTGGAGATCTTCCCCTAGGTCTTTTTCCTTCAACTCTACCCTCGACTATCAGTTTTTCCATCAAGCCTGTTCTTCTAGCAATGTGTCCAAAATACTGCAAATATCTCTGTTGTATTTGTTTAAGCAATCTATCCTTTACTTTAAGTTGTTCTAATATCGATACGTTAGTGCGATGATCAATCCAGGATATTCTCAACATGCGGCGGTATACCCACATTTCAAAAGCGTCCAGTTTATTTTTATCCGCTTTCTTTAAGGTCCACGTTTCGGATGCATAGGTGGCTATGGGAAAAATGAGCGCCCTTACCAGCCTTAGTTTTGTGTGTATGGTTATGCTAGAATTTTCCAAATTGCTATCAGTTTCATCATGGCTGTTCTAGCAATAGTCAACCTTCTACGTATTCCTATGTCATACCCTCCGTCATTTGTTATTAGGGACCCCAGGTATATGAAAATATTTACTACTTTAAAGCCCCCAATTTCTTTAATGTGTTGAAGATGATTCCGCGCTCTGTTTACTATCATGATTTTTGTCTTACTCCTATTTAGCTTTAGTCCATTATGTTTTGCTTTTTTTTCTCCAAACATCTCATTATGTCTTCCATTTCTTAATGATTTGTTCCTTCTTCTTAGAGTGCCGTCTCCCTACGGAGGTTGGCAATCATAATGGCTATTTTTATTTTAGAACTTGCTGCTCTAAACAAATCAATCGATCTGCATTGGTACCAATCACGTAGATTCTTTAACCATGAGTTCTGCCTTCGGCCAACAGATCTTCTTCTTTGAATCTTTCCCTGTATTATCAGTCTCAAAATTTCATATTTTGGTCCCCTCATCACGTGGCCTAGGTATTCCAGTTTTCTGGTTTGTATAGTGGTGATTAGTTCTGTTTCTTTACCAACCCTTTCCAGCAGCATCGATTTCCAGCAGCAGATTTGCAGCGATTATTAAAGTGTCATCAGCATATCTCAAGTTATTGATTTTTTGACCTCTTACTGATATATTATCTCCTTTTACATCTAATAATAATTTATGCACTTTTTCTTCAGTACAATCATGGTACTAAAGAAAACGACATAAATTATCATTAATCATACTCAAACCTTCTTCTAGTACTTCTGTTTCATCTAGTGGTCCTTTAAATCCTAAGATACATTTCAATTCTGGTCTATTACTAGATGTTCATTGATATGCGAACAAAAGAAAACTGCGAGGGATTCAACTAAGCATAATTCTCTTTTAAGTGTGTACACTTTTTATTTACAAAAAGAGGTACATAAATTTAAATACAAATAATTATACCCTAGAAGTTGTGTATTCAGCAGGGAATTTGAATAGGTAGTTCCCTTTAGCAAAAACGTTTGGTAAAAGTCCAGCATTTGGAATTATATTATAGGATAGAGTCAAGGTGATATTCTGGTTACCCCTAAAACAGAAATAGTATTTATTATCATCAATAAAAACAAACCAAATTTATTTATTTGGCATTATGTTGTTAGCTGTTTTAAATTATTCTAACCACCAATTAAAAAAGCAGCTACTTTACAAGTCACTCTTTTTGCATGATCAAAACAAGCAATATAAAAAAACCAAAGTCACTACAGGATGAATACATATACAAAAAAAAATATGTGAATTGTGTAGATTTCCAGGTAATCCTCTTCCTCACCTACGAAGTGTAAATAAGGAATCTATGGAATATAATTTATGAGTTGTTTTTATATTTTAATAATGTATATGTATATATAATATTGGTCCTTCTTCTTCTGATACGTCCTACATACAATAGGCAGCTCAAACATCAAAGCAAAAGATATCCTCCAATTATCTTGCCATCGCCCAGGGCATATACTCACCCAGGCCCCCCGAAAAGAAAGTTCCTTTCCTCCCAGCCAAACTTCCCAACTTGGCTGGAAACGAGCTTCTGATGAGTACTTCGACATCCTAGAAGCAACGCTACTAGACACCGCAGATACTAATAAGCTGCAAGCCAATAACGTTCAATCAAAAGAGCCGCTCCCACAAGTATAGCTGGTAACATGCGAAGGTACCTCTCATGGCGGTATAGCTAACAATCTTCCTCAATCACCAACAATTCAAACAACTATTTGTTAGCAGCCTACTCGTCTCTCTAACTCTCCAAACTGCATCATAACAATTACATTCGCAGACAAATGTCTGCTATTTGCAGAATTCACTCCCTGGTAAGGGAGCTACTTTAAAGAGGCGATCCGCCTAAACGAGGTATCAATAACGATGCCATTCTTCTTTTTCCTATGGTGATACAGCCCAAATTGGCCTCCTATAATTACTTCCTCCAATATAGGTTTGCCCACGACACTAACCTGCTCCAAGCTCTGACATTCAGTGCATTAGTTCAAATAATCAGAATATTCTGAAGTTCCCAAAGTGGTTACGTAAAATTAAATTTTTAATGAAATCAGGGGTTAAAAATTTTCAAAATTACATTTTTAAACATTTAAAAATACAGCTAAAAATGTAAAAGAAAAAAATAAATAAAATTTTCCTCGTTTTTTTTCTAACAAAGAATTTTTAAGAGCATATTTTCCAGAAAATTTTACATAAAAAATACATTTTTCTTGACATACCCAAAAAAATGAGTTTTTGATGAACGTGTGAATTCCACGGTGAATTGCAAACATGAGCTTGTTTTTAAAAAATATCTGTCACATATGTAATCAGAATAAAGAGCTTGAGAATGAATTCTTCGTCCAGTAGTTATTCAGTTGTCCATTCCAAGTAAATTGTGGTTCCTTGCATGTTATACCTTTCTCTATGGACAGTGCACAGCTTTTGGAATAAACACGCTTAATGTCTTGTTTTAACATAATTTATTTAATCAGTAATGTTGGTTTCAAATGCAACGGCGAGAATTTCTCGTAACAGTAATGCCTAACATAACGAAGTAGTGGTGTTCCAAAAAAGACTCATCATTTAAACTAAGTCGAATTGTTGAAGGTAGGTATAAAATAGGCAAAATGTATTAAAAAATAATATTACATTATATTTTGCAACATTTGTGTATATTTGATTTACATTTCCTGTAAACAAACTCTGGAATGTGTTACGACAGACGAATATTAGTGTCACCTGAATAAAAGCCTTAAGAAATTTGTATGAAGGGTCAACATCACAAATAAAAACTGAAAACAGACTATCGCAAAGCTTCCTGGTTAATAAAGGTATACGTCAGGGGTGTTGTGTATCACCGACCTTGTTTAAAATATATGTTGCAAAAGCATTAAAAGAGTGGAAACGACAATGCAGAGGCATGGGCGTAGACCTTGGAGAGATTTGCTGTATACATTGCAGTTTGCTGATGACCAGGTTGTTATAGCAAACGATAAAGATGATCTTGAGTACATGGCAAGGAAATTACAAGAAGAATATAGAAAGTGGGGACTAGAAATTAACACAGAAAAAACAAAATACCTACCAGTAGGTTCCGAAATATCGAACATCACGTTAGAAAATAACGAAATCATCATGCTCTGCGACCATTACACATACCTAGGAATCGTTTTTGACACAACGGGGAAAGATGATGAAGAAATAAAGAGAAGAATAACACAATCCAGAAAAACAATAGGTTGTCTAAACAGCGTACTGTGGAGCCATGAAATAGGAAAAAGAAGAAAGCACAATATCTATGAATCTCTTATTAAAAGCAGTCTACTGTATGGAGCAGAAACTTGGCGATTAACCAAAAACAACAGAAGGAAACTGAAGGCAGTAGAAATAGATGCTTTTAGAAGATCAGTAGGAGTGTCACGCAGAGAGAAAATACGTAATGATGAGATAAGACAGCGAATGGAGATTGACGGCTCTCTAACAACAGACATAGAAAGAAAACAGCTGATATGGTACGGACACGTCCAGAGGGTGGATAACTCAAGACTCCCAAAAATAATTATGCAATGGGTACCACCAAACCGCAGAAAGAGAGGAAGACCCAAGAAATCTTGGAGAGAGGGAGTAACGAAGGCAATGAGCGCAAGAGATCTTAGAGAGGTCCAATGGGATGATAGAGTGTCATGGAAATTAGGCATCGGACAACGTCGCAAGACGTTTTAAAACCGATATATATATATATATATATATATATATATATATATATATATATATATATATATATATATATATATATATATTAGTGGATTCTCTTGGGCTTAGGTTCATAAAAAAAATTAGTTTGATACTAAGACATTTTTATTTCCGACGTTTCGGCAGGAAATCCATGCCTTTTTCAAGAAATAATATTGACAAGCATGTAAAAATTCGGTATTAACAAATAGACGTCACAATTAAAATAATATTAAAACATAGGACATCCCCAGTAAGTCACTACATATAAAATTGTTATTAAAATACAAAACATTAATAAAAATTGTAATTGCATTAAGATGCCACAAGAAAATAGCTTCAAAACAAAGTTTTAAGGGTTGAAAAAGACAATTAAATGTTCAATGATCTATAAATAGGACGATGACATATAATGGGTTAATCCCTTCCTAGATTTCACTAAAAATTAAAGAAGGGATTTATTCTTTCTTTTTTGATAAATAATTTCAATGCAAAATTTCAGTAACAGGTTTTGGTTTCTAACTTTGCAAACTTGGACTGGAATTACTCTCCTTCTAATAATTATAATTTAATATCCAGAGATTATAAATATTCTGGTAGGGTCCACACCAAAAAGAATACTTACTTAAGGCCATTGCCATCATCCCAGAAGTAATATTTGGTGTTCATGCTTTTAAAGTCTAATACTGCATTTTCTCCTCTAAGAATAATTTTATCCCAAAGAACAACCTGAAATAATATACACCTTTTAAACATTTATTAAAAAAAAAGTGAAACAGTAGGCGGTACTGTAGACTAGCGTAAAGCTTCTTACTATGTTTTCTGTATTTTTAAAGAATATGTTTAAAATTAATTAATTAAAGTAATTTTTTTTACTTTCTATATTTTAAACAAATTCAATAAATAATTATGTTTGCTCATACCACCACCTGTTAACGTATTAACAAAGCATATGTTGTTATAAATAAACATCATTTAATACAAGGGCCGATCCACGACCGATTCTCAGGGGGAGGAGGAGGTGGTATGGTCATAAACTTTTTAAGTGGTCTGGGGGAAATTCTTTAAAAAGTGTTTTAAGGCACCATTCACACTTTTGAGTGCCTTAAAGACATTCAAAACTTATGGTTATTAAAGTATTTTTATTTGTCTAGCAACGGAAAGTCAGCTAATTTGAACCTAAAACCCCTTAAAGTTTAACAAGTGCAAAGAAAGAAATGTAGTTTATTTATTTTTTATTTAAAAAAATTAAGTAGTATAAAAAAAGGCGAATAATATTGTTCATTTAGTGATGCACGCGGGATGTCCCGTCTCGTCCTTTGTCCACCATTTTGTCCCGCCGGAAGGGATGAAATAAATTTATTATTTGACCAATTCGACAAAAAAATGAAATTAATACTGACCAAAACAAGGACAAAAAATGTAATCTTATTAAAACTTTCTTTGGAGTTAGATCTTCTACCTTTCAAAGTCGATTTGGCATCGAAAACAGCCTTACTCGCCAGGTTAGCATCAAGAGATTTTGTTTGTAGAAGCCAGCTTAGTGGCAATGTTAATTTTAGTATGTCAATCAGTGACAACATTGACACTAGAACCTCAGATATGCATAAAGATTTAAGCAAAGTTGATGCAAATGTAGCAGTCTTGGGATCCTTCCATGTTTAGATAGATGTTAGTGCTTCAATTATATGTAAAATACCAGATCTCAACTGGATTACGCTTTAATGGCGCTGAACCCATCTGACATGATAAAAAATGATATTACTGACTTCATTGTTCCCACTGTGTTTGTGATGAACGGGAGTATGCACACATAATAGTTGAAAGGGAGTTGCTTAAAATATGATTTTGGCAAGGACATCTAACTGCATTTGTTGCGACTTTTTTTATTTCTGATACTGCACTTATGGTGCTAGTTATGTGACACTCGCCCCTCATCATTTTACTGTATCATATCAAAATGATGCACATTAATCAGAACTCTGAAAATGGCAGCTGAAAGGGGAATTCTTAAATTAGTCACTATATAGGTGGTTGCTGGTAAGATATAAAAAAACAACAGCTTCAATTTTCACCTAATTTTTTGACTGCATTGCAGCAATTTCTTCAGTCCAAATTGCCTCCCAGACGTACTTGGTAGTAAACATTCATAAAAGGATCAGGGATCAAGAAGTTACCAAGGTGGCAACATAAGGAGCACAAACTTCCATTTTCTCGGTTTAGGCTCATTTTGTGGTCTAACCCAAATGGCCACATAAAAAAGGAATTCTGTACTTTATTTCTCCCGAGTAAAGTTAACATGGCTTAATACAATCGTAGAAGAAATGAGGATCTGTAGAGGAGTTAGACAGGGATGTGTGTTATCACCACTTTTGTTTAACTTATATTCAAAAGAAATTTTCCAAAACACGCTCAATAATATCGAAGCGGGAGTCACCGTTAACGGAAAATTAATTAATAATTTAAGATATGCAGACGACACTGTGATCATAGCAACGAGTATAGAGGATCTACAACATCTTATCGAAAGCTTGAGTATAAATAGTGCTGAGATGGGAATTACTATAAACGCTAAAAAAACGAAGTACATGCTGATTACAAAAAGGTGACAAAATATACATCACCTATTGACAATAAATGGTAACGTGATAGAACAAGTAGAAAAATTCAGTATTTGGGAACTTTGATCAATGAAACCAATGATCATACTGTAGAAATAAACAGACGTATAGAGATTGCCAGATCAGCATTTATACAAATGAAGCCACTCCTAACGTGCAAAAATCTAAATTTGGAGATCAGACTACGTACCATTCGCTGTTATATATTTTCAATATTATTATATGGAGCTGAGACTTGGACATTAAAAGAATGTAATTTAAAAAGAAAAGAGGCCTTCGAACTCTGGTTATACCGCAGATTATTGAAAATATCATGGACTGATAGAATTACAAATAAAGAAGTACTGGAGAGGGTTGGTAAAGAAACAGAACTAATCACCACTATACAAACCAGAAAACTGGAATACCTAGGCCACGTGATGAGGGGACCAAAATATGAAATTTTGAGACCGATAATACAGGGAAAGATTCAAGGAAGAAGATCTGTTGGCCGAAGGCAGAACTCATGGTTAAAGAATCTACGTGATTGGTACCAATGCAGATCGATTGATTTGTTTAGAGCAGCAAGTTCTAAAATAAAAATAGCCATTATGATTGCCAACCTCCGTAGGGAGACGGCACTCTAAGAAGAAGAATACAATCGTAACGGAAGTATTACTGATCATGGATCACGGAAACCAAGATCCGGCAGGGAAGGGCGCGCACCAGACTGTAGGGCCTCCCCGGTTGTCATCACACGAAATCCCTACAATTTTAGAAGTACCACAACTTTAAAAATGTCTAGCAGTACAATCAGATTAGGTATCTGGAACGTTAAAAGCCTCTATGCAGCAGGCAAGCTCAGTAACTTAGTTCAAGAGATTAAACGTTTAAAAATTGATATAATGGGCATCAGTGAGCTCCGGTGGCCTGGAACAGGAATATGTGAACAAGATGAAGGCACACTATACTATTCTGGAAGTGTAGAAGATGACACACATCATAGGAATGGAGTTGGCTTATTTATAACGTCTAAATTTAAGAAATATGTGAAAAATTTTATACCAGTGAATGACAGACTAGCAATACTCCAATTAAATAGCAAACCATTTAATGTCAATGTTATCCAGATATATGCCCCTACTGCAGAAAAGAAATATGACAATGATGTCGAATCATTCTATAGCCAATTAAAACAGACACTTAAAAATCTAAAAAGTAACGAAGTCACATATATTATTGGAGATTTTAACGCAAAAATTTTCCAAGGCCGAAGATCTGACCTGGTAGGTGAATATGGACTAGGGGAGAGCAATGAAAGAGGCGATAGATTAAAACAGTTCTGTCAAGAACATGACATGATAATCGCAAATACATGGTTCAAATTACACAAACGAAGGTTATACACATGGAGGGGACCAGGAGATAATTCACTACATATGATTAGAAATCGGATAGACTATATTCTGGTAAACAAGAAATTTAAGAATGACGTCACCAGAGTAACGACATATACTGGTGCAGATATCGGTTCAGACCATAACCCTGTAATAACTGACATCAAAGTGAAGCTCAAAAAAGTCCAAGAAAGCCACAAAACACCAAAATTAAATATCTCAATATCCAACACAACGTTAATAGAAAATGACTTAAACAATGAGCTAAAGAAATCAATAAATGAAAACAACACAGAAATATGGAACACATTTAAAGATCTTACCTTGAAAGTAATAGAAAAATATTCAACAACGTTACACATTCACAAAAAACAACAATGGATGACTGATGAAATCCTGGAATTAATGGACCAGAGAAGGAAATTGAAAGGTAACAAGACAGAATATAAGCAAAAACAGAAACTAATTAAACAAAAAATAAAGGTGGCTAAAGAAAAATGGATGGAGTGCAGAAAAATGCAAGGAATTAGAAAAGTTGAATGAAAAACATGATACGTTTAATATGTTTAAAAAAGTTAGAGAAGTAGCTGGTCTTTATCATAAGAAAACTCCACATACTATAACCGATTCGTCGGGAAAAATGATAATAGACGAACATGAAATTCGAACAACCTGGTGTAATTATATAAGTGAACTGTATAATGATGATAGACCCGAAGAACGGAAGACTTTAGTTGAAGGTGAATGACCAGAAATACTAAAATCAGAAATACTGCATGCTATAAAGTTAGCAAAGAACAAGAAAGCCGTTGGCCCTGATAACATACCGACAGAGATGTTAAAGCTTATAAATGAGGAGAACATTGGAATACTGGTCAAACTTTTTAATGATGTTTATTCAACTGGTGATATCCCTGAAGATTGGTTAAAGTCCGAATTCATAACACTACCAAAAAAACAACGTCCGAAAAACTGTAGCGATTATAGAATGATAAGCCTTATGAGCCACACTTTGAAAATATTTCTACGCATCATCCACAGCAGAATTAGAGATAAATGTGAAGAAGATCAGGATGAAACACAATTTGGCTTCAGAAATGGACTGAAATGTCGAGATCAAAGGAAAGACGTCTTTGCTGTATTTATTGACTATGAAAAGGCCTTTGATCGAGTACAGCATCACAAATTAAATACAATATTAAAAGATAAAGGAGTTGATAGTCAAGACATACGATTCATAGAAAAGTTATACTGGCGTCAAACAGCGACAGCTTGCATAAACAGAAATATGTAAAATACAAATAGGTGTCAGACAGGGTTGTATACTATCCCCACTGTTATTTAATTTATATTCAGATAGAATATTTAAAGAAGCTGCATAATTTGGAATGGGGCGTGAAAGTTAATGGAATTCTGATAAATACAATCAGATATGCAGACGATACAGTTATTTTAAGTGATGACATGAGTGGATTGCAATGCCTTTTAAATGCCATTGATACAGTGGGAAGAGAGTTTGGCCTAAACATAAACTGTTCAAAAACAAAACACATGGTGTTTAGCCGTTTAGCACATCAAGATGCACGATTATATGTTGATGGTCATATAATTCAAAGAGTGTCCAGTTTTAAATATCTTGGTTGCCATATTACTGAACAACTAGATCCAGATCAAGAGATAAAATGTAGAATCAAGAAACGACATTTTTAAAAATGAGGTCATTCTTCTGTAATGATAACTTGAAACTTCAACTTCGAAAGCGTATGGTTAAATGCTACATTTGGTCAGTCCTCTTATACGGTGTCGAAGCATGGACATTAAAAATATCCACCATTAATCGTCTGGAAGCCTTTGAAATGTGGCTGCACAGACATATACTAAAAATTCCATGGACGGCTATGCTGACAAATGTGGCAGTCCTTGAGAGAGCAAATGCTGCTCGCGAGCTGCTTGATAACATCAAATGTAGAAAGATGGCCTATTTTGGACACATAGTAAGGGGAGACTGATATAATATTCTTCAACTTATTATGATGGGTAAAATCGAAGGACGCAGAGGAATTGGTAGAAAGCAGGCCTCTTGGTTGAAGAATATCAGAGAGTGGACAGGAATAAAGAAAGCTGAGCAACTCTTTAGAATAGCTCAAGACAGAGACAGTTTCGCCATGTTAATCGCCAATGTCAAGGGGACTTGATAGGGCACATTAAGAAGAAGAAGTACTTTAGAACCCAATCAATTATGATTGGGTTCTAAAGTTTTTCACTGTTTTAACATATCAGGACTGAAGTAAGCAAAAAGATTTGCAAAATTATCTCAAGCACCTTTTCAAAAATACTTAAATTAGCAACACATCTCACAGGACACTACTTTCTGAGGTAAGCAAGTCAGACAATTTGAAATATAGTTTCTGTGAAAATATATTATAATAATACAGTTATAAAAAGTGCTTAAAATCATACATAAGGTTCCTCAAACCCATGGAAATAAGGAACAAATCTCCCAGACCCTCAAATGATATGAACTTGTTAAAATATATTCTCAATAAAAATGCCAAGATTTTTCTTTTTAATACTCTGTCATATTTATATTAAAAACTATGCCCCTGCTAAGTGCTTCCATGATACTGTCTACATTAGGGTATGTTTTAAATTAATTCTTAAGTTATGCTACAAATATAGGTTAAAGCTTATTATACAGATACAGTGTAAGTTACAAAGATCAAGTGCAAATCCTTATTTTCATACTGAGTAGCACAGCGATAACTATTTACAATCCACCTCTTTGGATACACTCTGCACATGCCACATGTGCGAGGTTGGATCTTCTTATGTGGCATTTACCAATATATGATAGCTTGATACATTGTTGACATTATTCACAATAGCATTTGAATACAGTAAAACAGATTTAGGATGGAGAAATAAGTTATAGTAACTATTCAAAAATTACATTAATTTGTTATGAATAAAATAAACTAAATACTGATTTTTGATGCCAATGATAAAAAGATGTAGGCTGGACAAAGATCTAACTTATTGTATCTGTATCGCGAATCTGCGGCTTAGTCTAGAATATGCTGGTATCTGATCGGCCTATGGTGGAGCAGTACGGCAAGAGATAAGGGCTTGCATCTCGGTGATACTCCTCCATAGATCCCTACCGGTATATATATATATATATATATATATTATATATATTTATATATATATATATATGTATATGTATATATTTATATATATATATATATATATATATATATATATATATATATATATATATATATATATAAACTTACCTGTGTCATTGTAAAACACAGGTAATTAGAAATTTATTTTTCACACTATCTTTTACCTGTAGATATGTTTAATACACATGATCCTACATTCAAGTAATTTTAGTAGTACAGTTGATTATATAGAAACTATACTCTCATACTCTTCACTTTTGTTTAAATTTAAATATAATTCAGAAAAGTAAATATTCTTGATTCTTGAAAATTATTTATAAATATATTTACCTGATTTAATTCATTACTGGGAGTTCTATATTCTGCTGTAAGATACAGAAATAGCTGTTTAACATTCCAATTAAATAAACCAGTTAGATTTGTTTGTAAATCAAAAGTAATGAATCCTAAGTCATTTTTCTCTCTACTTGCACTATAATCTGGAACATTTTTTCTGCAAAAATATATAGTTAGATACATTCAGTTTTACATAAGAACATTACTTACACTACTACCTTAACTGTATTCATATTAGCATCTGTTACATAGTTCAGACAAACTGTGGAAGCAAAACATAAAAACGTTAAACAGGCTAAGACAGTGAGAGTGTAGGCAAATATTGAATTGCCTCTTTGTAACACTGAGTGCATTTTTATCTGTTTTTTAACTTTTTATTCAGTTTAATGAATTTTAGACACGTCAATGTAACTATCCTACTTGTAACACTCTAACCTAAAATCATATTGTTGACATTGACAGACCGGAGCGTACTTTTGTCTATCGACACATCGACACGTCATTCAGTTTGTCCAACTGATAATTTAATAAAATCTTAAATTTCAGCACATATTACATTAATTTTAGTATCTTATGTACAAAAATGAATTGGATTCATGCATGAAATACTCTTTGATGATTGGGATGTTATAAATTTAGTCTAAAATAAAGTAAATTTAATTTTTCTTCCATAATATTTGGCTACTTCTTTATAGATGGCGCCCAGTGCATGAAATTCTAAATAATTTTTATAAAATCAAAATCCATCAAAAGGCAGGGGCGGCTCGTGATAGTACAAGATAGTGAGGCACATGAAAATTGAGGATTATTATTATTATTAAAGCTCGGATACCATTTTTCATATTTTATAATATAAAATTTTAATTTATACAATACGTGGTAGGCTGATATTTAGAGAGAGTCAAATTGTTTCCTGGCTTTTAAGTCTGCGAGAGGTTGATAGATACTCATAATAGCTGTTTTTTAGCTAAAAATAATTAGTAAAATCATATAGCGAAACAGTATGAATCAGATGTTTCGTCCTTTCTTGGTCTCATCAGCGAGGTACAGCCCTATTAAGCAAAATTTATATTACATACTACATGACAACAACGGACAAAACTGATTCTGTTTATATTAATCAGTTGCCAAAATGAAATTATTGTACGCAAACAATATACCTACAAACATGTGATAACTTCATTTTAAAATCAGTTTTATATTGTAAAGGTATTGAATATAGAGAAACACAAACAAGCAAGTAAGCAAATTTATTTTGTTTTTTTTTATAAAAAGCGTACTTAAAAGACAATGAATTAACATATAGGTACCTAATCTTGATTTCTAAAAATTAAAAGTTATTTTAGTCAAAAATTTCATGAAATATTAATTGTAAAATGTAAACTGATTTCTATATTTTAAAAATTAAAGGAATCCTGCGAGACTTCTGTTCTGCAAAATTATCTATTACCTTGTCTATAAAAGGGTCTTCATCCAGGGATTTTATAAATGATTTTTCAATTGAGATTTTTGCCATATTACTCAATCGTGTCTGTCCAGTTGTATTTCAGATGAAATTTTTAATTCTTTTTAGCGCGGAGAAACTTCATTCCGCAAAAGCACTTGTCACTGATAAAACAACACAAATGCATAATAGTTTAAAAACTTCTGGCATACAAAGTTTTAAATCATTATCGTGAAAAAAGTCAACATTCCATAAGGGCTTACGCAATTTTGTATTATATCACTAGCGGAGCCAACATACTTGGTTCTGTCAAATATATTTGGAATTTAACAGTTTATTTTTTTAATTCTCCTGAACAGAACCGTCACCATGATGATAGGGCGGTGTGTGAGGGTCAGCTCGGGTGACCTAAGTATCTTCTCCTCGACGAACTTTGGCCCCCCTTTTTGAACCCACTAAAACCTCCGACTGGGATGTCAGCCAGAGGGCTTCAAACTAAGAGGGAACTTAAGGTTTAAACCTGATTGAAAAATAATCTAAAAGAATAGTGAAAACCTAAAGGTGACAAATATTTATAATGTGAGTGATACAATGACAAAACATAGAGATAATTAATTATTTATTATTATTGATATTAACATAGGGGAATAACCAATGTAATAAATAATAATAAAATAAAATGTATATAAGTATTTTCAGTAATATTTACATAGTATTTCTATGCTCTTCTGTATAAAATTATGTTTTTATGCTTCTGTATTTTTTATATATCTACTTCGAAAATATTAAAATATATATTTACAAAAATTGTGTGTACAGTTAAAACAAAAAAAAAAGACGATTCTTTTGATATACACGCCGGAATTAAATCACCATTAGGCAGGAATTACCACTAATTTTTCAACATAGGCCAGAATTAAAGTTTTTGCATTTTAGTAAAAACAATTTTTTGGCGAATAAAAAACACATGTTTCATTTTTTTTATTAATTATTTTATATATTCCTTTATATCAAGGAAACATGAAGCTATGAAATGTGCTTTATTTATGTATTATTTTTTTCCTTAATATCTACGTCTAAAGTCAAACATTCCTTAAGTGGGCCGTTATTAGGTCTTCTTCTTCTTCTACGGCACTACAGCCCAAAATGAGCCTTGGCCTCCTTTATTTTTTGCCTCCACCCTTGTCTGTCTGTGGCTGCTCTTCTCCATACACGGACTCCTAAAAGTGCTTGTGCGTCGCTGCTTACTGTGTCTTCCCAGCGCTTTCTTGGCTTTCCAACTGGTCTCTTTCCCTGCATTCTGGCGTTCAGTGCTCGTTTTGGTAGCCTATCCTCTCCCATTCGTATCACATGTCCGGCCCATTGCAATCTTTGTATTCTAATGAAGTTTGACAGGGTGTTTCCTTATACAGTTGATAGAGCTCGTTGTTATATCGAATTCTGAAGATTCCGTTTTCCCTCACAGGTCCTAGTATTCTCCTCAGTACTTTTCTTTCGAATGTGTCGAGTTTGTTTTTGGATGTTTCTTTCAGGACCCATGCTTCGCTGCCATAACATGCTATTGGCCGAATTAAAGTTTTATATATTCTCATCTTTGTATTTCGGTGGACACTTTTAGACCGAAATATATGGGAGAGGGCAAATAAGCTTTGTTTGCCTGCGTTATCCTTTTTCGTATTTCTCCATCCTCTGCTCCATCGGCATATATTTCTACTCCCAGGTATGTAAACTTTCCAACCGTTTCAATGTCATCTTCATGTATAATGTTTTGTGGGATTATATTTCTTCTCGTCTGTACCATTATTTTTGTTTTTTCTGTGTTAATTTCCAGACCTAGCCTTTCGTTTGTGTTTTTAACTCTGCGTATGCTTCCTGTGCTCCTGTTGATGTTCTACTCATAATATTAATATCATCGGCGTAGGCAGCCAGTTGAACCGTTTTATTGGTCAGTAGGTTTTCTCGTCCAGTTTGCATTTGCCTGACCGCATACTCCAGTGCCAGGTTAAACAATGTTGGTGCCAGCCCATCTCCCTGCTTTAGTCCCTGCGAGATTTTGAAAAAGTCTGTCCGGTTGTTTTGTATTCGTACACATGCCTGAGTTTCATCCATTGTGGCTTTAATGAGTCTAATTAGCTTATGTGGTATTGCTAATTCTGCCAATATATAGTATAGTCTGTCCCTTTTGACTGAATCGTATGCCTGTTTGAAGTCGTTATTAGGTCGGTTTACCTTAATTCTAGCTAACATTTAATTCGGTGATAAAGTCCTTTTACCCTATGATAGCCGATATGCAATTAAGATGTGATCAGCGGGATGTTAATACTTAATTCCGATCGCTTGAAAAGTAAAAATATTTATTTTCCTGAATTTTGTGTTCAGTAATAATATTGGATTTTACTGTATCAAAAGCAAATAAAATAAATATAATATGTATACACAGGGCGTGTTAAAAGAAGTGGGACGGAATATTTCGAATACTGGAAATTATTTGTCGACATCGAATGTTCATTAAGGTCACAATAAATCTCTATTTTGCGTAAAGTGAAAATTATACGAATGGTTTTGCATTCAGTAAAATTGGAAAATACTTGCCAAGTTGCTGGTATGTCCAAATTTGAATGAAATACATCCAATACCTTACTTTCTGTGCACACTGTATTAAATATAACCTTGAAACAAATTGGCACTAAATCACTTCCGAGTTTTCAGTAAAACAAAAGGTTTAAACACGTTTAGTCCAGTAATTAATATCAAAGCTATTGAGAGTACGCCTAGGGTTCAGGCATACTCCTGAATGAATGAAGAATGAACCCGAAGTTATAACATCCATAAAGATCGGACGTCTGCGCTGGATGGGCCATGTTGAACGGATGTTGGAGACTGAAACACCAAAACATATAATGAGGCAAACAGCAGTAGGGAAAAGGTCAAAGGGAAAACCCAAACTTGGATACATGGAACAAGTGGAAAAAGATCTGAAAACACTTAAGATTACCAACTAGAAAAACAAAGCAAGGAAGAGAACATAATAGCGAAAACTCCTAGAACAAGCCAGGACCCAAAAAGGATTGCCGAGTTACTGACTATGATGATGATTAAGAGTATGCAGTCCTGTAATTAGACCGAAGGTACTTTATCGTTTAACTAAATTACACCACAAAGTCCGAATTGAATTCCCGAAACACTTTTTTGTTACTTCTTTTTAGCAAACTATTTGTCCTATTTACTTTCTGATATTTCACTATCAGAGTCGTCACTATCTGAATTGTCTATCCGAATAATTATAATTCCGATCTCATCCGATCATTTTCAAACCGGTCGGTTTGAAAAGACTAAACGATTATGTCTTCCGTCTAATACAATTATGCCATTGTTTTGCCTTTATTTGTTCTGGCGATTATTTCCATGAACTAAGAACGCTAGCGTCATCTGTTGTTTTGGATGCATGTTTATCATAAATTTTTTTAGCTATACCCCAAACTAACCAATTGCATGTGGCAATGATAGGGCGGAAGTTGAAGAACTTCATGGCCATATTTAAGAGCCATTTGGTCAGTAACACATTTCTTTTGAATTTTGTGCTCTCCACACCTTTGAAGTACACTCTCCACACCTCTCCATACCTCCACTTTTAAAAATATGTCACTGTGATAAATTTTCTTTTCTGTCAACCACAACTTTGCAGTTGTTCGGTAGAATTCAAATCGTACTGACGTGTTTAAATTATCGGTGTTAATTAATAGTATCGATAACAAGTTCTTTTCTTACTTATTTTGTTGTTTGCGATAAATAATCAATTTTGGTGAAACTATAGGTGTTTTTTTATAAATATGAGTGAATTAACTGGGGGCAGTAAGCCCCCAGACATTGATCCCGACCCCGGGCTTTATGATAAAGATGAAAATCAGGTTGGTATGATGGAATTTACAAATATGGAAACAATTTCACAAAAACAAGAGAACCAGAATGTAAGTACTAATTTAATGTC